CCTCGGCCTCCCAGAGAGCTAGGATTACAGGCGTGAGCCACTGCGCCCGGCCTGTGGGTTAACTTTTTAAGAAACTGACAATTTTTTTGAAAGTGACTGTACAATTTTACTTTCTATCCAGCAATATATGATGGTTATGCAATACTTTGTCTACATCTTTTGCAGTACTTCTTACAGTCTTCCCTTCTTGATTATGGCCATTCTAGTAAATATTAAATGGTATTTTATACCACTCACATCCAAATTATTCTCATCCAAATTTTAATCTCATCCAAATTAGATAATTTCCTTGTGACCAATGATGTTGAGTATCTTCTCTTTTGCTTCGTGGCCATTTGTATTATCTTCTTTGGAGAAATGTCTATTCGAATTTTTTGATCCCTTTTTTAGTTTGGTTATTTGTCTTCTTATATGTTACAAGAGATAATATATTCTGAAAGCAAGTTCTTTATCAGGTGGATCTTGTTTTTTATCCAGTGTGACAATATCTGCCATTTCAGTGGGATGTTCAGTTCATTTATACTTAATCTTATTGATATAGTTGAATTTACATCCGCTGTTTGCTACTTGTTTTCTGTTTTTCTCATATCTAAATACATTGCTTTGTTCCTCCTTTCCCACCTCTTGTTTTAAGAAATTGTACTACTGCCTTATACAGTTTTATGTCCTCAGTCTTTATCTGGGAATGTCTGTTTTTGCCTTCATTTTTCATGGATAGTTTTGTTTGATATTGAATTCATGTTTGATCAATATTTCTTTCAATCTGTTTGAATATGTTATCTTAGTCCACCCTTACTTCCATTATTTTCGGTGAGAAGGAGCTGCTAATCAGTTTTGGTCTCCTTTATGTGATAGATTAGTTTTCTTGCTTTCAAGATTTTTTTTTCTTGGCCTTGCCTTTGAACAGTTTGACTGGGAGGTTTTTAGGTGTGGATCTCCTTGTGTTTATCCTACTTGCAGTTTTTTTGAGCTTCTTTGATCTATAGATTAATGTTTTTCATCAACTTTGAGACATTTTTGGCTATTTATTTCTTCAACTATATTTTTTTCCCCTTTCTCTCTTTCTTCCATGATTCCCCTTATGCATTTATTGGCACATTTGATGTTACCCTAGACTCTGAAGCTCTGTTGATTTTCTTCCACATTTTTTTTCCCTCTGTTTTTCAGGTTGAATAATTTTGTTGATTTTCTTTAAGTTCACTGATGGTTTCTTCTGCCGCCTCAAATCTATTGCACTTTTCATTTCAGATATTCTATTTTTCAGCTCCCAGGTTTCCATTTGGTTCTTTCATATATTTTGTAAGTCTTTATTGAGATTCTTTGTTCATTGGGTCATTGTCATCAGTTTTCTTTAATACCATAAACGGACTTCCATTTGTCTTTTGATCATGTTTAAAATGTCTTTGCTAAATCCAACATCTGGGGATACTTAGGCAGTTTCTAATGAATGCTTTTCTTCCTTATGACTTATTTCGAAATCACATTCCTACTACACAAATTTAATGAGTGGACTTACAGAAGACTTGTAAACTTTGAAAACTATTCATTCAAAGCTATCAAAATGCCAGAAATTCACCTGCTATCTATATTTGTTATTGTTA